AAAGGCAAACAAAGTTTTTATAAAGGCGTTTATGAAACTGATCGTACTTGACACTGATGTTTGTTTTAGTAAGTTTCAAGAAATGTGACGGGTTTTTAAAAGGTTAAAGCAGTGATTTTGAAAGTGTCATTGTCTATCGTCTAGAATACCTAAAACAGCAAAGGACAGTTTATGTGAGAAGTAACAGATTTGTTGTAGTTCAAGGATATATTCAACTGGTCATTGTAATCATAGGACAGAATAAACTGCGTCAAGCAATGGCAGTAAGTGATATTAAGATTCACTGGAGTTTAGCCATATATTAATTATTTTCTTGGTTGGAGGTGAAATAAGTCTTTCTGTTTTCAAGCGCAATATCAAACCTGAATTTTTGAAATTTACTGTCACCTGATTGTGTGCTTGGTTCTGTCTTCTATAGTGTATTCAACAGCACGTTTGCGTTCTCATGGTTTCTTGGCTTGTTTTCTTACTGTTATTACTATTGTTGTGATTAATCTTTGCAATTATTATTATTATTGTCGTTAACATTAGTATTAATGTTGGTGTCATTGTTGTGAATTCAGCGTTTGTATGTTTAGATGGAGTCGCCAAATTCTAATGATGCAGTTGACAGCAAAGATGAAACTGCTCGTCGAAATGATACTTCTGTTGTTCCCTTATCTTCTAAAAATCAAAAAGTATTGGTTTTTTAGTATTTTTTAAAATTGGGCAACGAAAAATTAATTCAGTTTTTTGTTTTAGATTGTTGTTTTGGGAGTAAAGAAGTTGGAAACTGTCAAAGAAGTTAAGACTGTACTTCCAGAAGAAGAATATTTGGAGGGACTGCAAAAAATCATTGTCAGGGATTACTTTCCCGAATTGCCGAAGCTGAAGGTCGGTGCGTTTTACAACCGAGAATGTACTTCCTACATTTATTTGCTTCTAGTTCAATTTTTTTTTTGAAGGCACAGAAAGAATATTTGGATGCTGTTGCATCAAACGATCTTACGAAAGTAAGAGAGCTCCAACTGCGGTACAGTACAAAACGTACTGAACGTAGGACCTCTCCCACTGTTCGTCGCAGTCCAGAAACATTTGATCCAGAAACTCCAGGACCGAGTAATCGTGAGACTTCAAACCCATACGATACAGAAAGAAGCAGCATATTTAAAAAAGATTATGAAAATGAAGCTTTGAAGGTTCTA